CAGCTCACCAGTGTGCTTCGCAAGTTTTTTGCATAGTTCTTTGGGCGGAAATATTTTGGTTTTCCTCTGCCATAAATGCTCTCTTAGTAGCTCCAGTCCTGATGCTCTAAGAAAACTTCTCAGTTATATTATGCACTTGTTATTGTCTTTGCAAACTATCAAACTATTTATGCCACACATGTTTAGGGTCGAGTAAAGCACAATCACTGGCCAATGCTTTGTGTTTCAAGTGACATCACAGTTGCTGCAAAACTCATCAAAAACATTTCCTCCACTTTCAGTTTTGTCTTGAAAGTTTCCACCTCAAGCTTCCGTTATGTCGAGGTTTCCCTATATTCCCTGTGCCATATGTGACACTGCATCTTTCTGAAATCTAAGACTGTATGATTCAATTCTCTGTTTTGACATTGCAACATTTCCTGCGGGATTCTTGTTTTGGCCCTGCGTACAGCTCCTGTGCTGGTCAACCCGTGCTCTGGTAGCAAATGTAACATCAGCTGGAAGCTGGTAAAGCAGATGTCGAATGTCACACTCTGCTTAGTTTGGGAGACGGGAGCAACAAGTCTGTTCCCAGTATCATTTGTTTCGTTACTACACAATAAGGCTGCATTTGAACCATTCGTTTCTCATTCCTGTGATCACCATAAGAAACCCGTGCCAAGTACAGCAGATCTATGAATACTTTCGGTTCAGCTAGTGAGGTACCATCATAAATATGTTTTTGAATATGGTTACTGGTGCATACAGAACATGTTACTTGCACTTCAGCCTTTGTGTATTTCACAGCATCTTCTAGCATTTCATCTGTTACACTTTCCAACACTGAATGGCAGTGCTGGCTTTCTGCTCAATACATTTCACCCCTGCCAACAGCTGCACTGTATTTTCGGACCTAGTTCTAACACTGGATCGTTCCATTTGGTTGTGTGGTCACTTTGAAGCATTTTGACCAGTCAGACATGTGCTCACATTTCTGTTTGCTTCATCATCTGAATCAAGGAGGTCTGCATTACCTGGGTCTGTACCAGTTGATTCTTGCTGCATTTCACTGTCGTAGGAACTTTGGCTCACATGGCCAACATCAAAGTTGTCCTCATCGTCATCACCACCACCATCCACCCACACCACTCTTTTGTTACGGAAGCAAAGGTTTTACCATAATGGATCATCTCCATCCATGCATGAGTAACCTAATGATTTACTTTTGACCTCCAAAACTTGCAAATCTAGTTTCTCATATGCCATTGTAACGAACTGGGCTACTTCCACCAGAAAAATCAAAAGGAAACTTTTTTAACAAATCCTGGAGTGGTGTGGGTCTACTGGACCCTCTGAGATGCTCAGGTAAACATACACAAAACCAGGTAGGCAGAGCATAAAGGTGGGTCCATATCCCACTCTGACATTTTTGTACATGTGCACACTCCTTGCTGTTCGTCATACCAAGTGGGTAAACACATAGACTGTTTCCTGTATCCCCCAGGGAAAGGTACTGAGACCTACAGCCAGCTACTGTAACATTAACATACAAATCTGAAGTAGAAAATTGAGAGATGGGCCCGCTAGAGTCAGGTTTACAACCTTAGAGATAAACACCAGTAGGGCAGAAGTCCAGTAGGTAGAAGTCATACACCAGCGGGCGTGGTTTCAGGACAAATGGCTAGTCACAGGTCATGTTGTTTGGGAAGGACGAAAAAGCATGACCAGAACCCACCCAGTGCTACTGGCAGCTCAGACTCACGGACACAGCCAGACTCTGCCCACACTTCAGCAATGCCGGCCTGTTTCCCCGGCCTTCCTCTCCAGATTCCTTGTCAAAAGTGTGCACTCCTCCACGGCCGGCCAATCTACCCTTCCTCTTTATGTTAAAGCAAGCTTCTACAGTCATAAACATGATCCTGAGCTAATAAAAGTAACAAGAGCGACCTTTACTTCCAATGGTCTTTTGTTTTTTTTTTTCTATCTGGTGTCATATTCCAACAGTCCGCCCATCTGTACTCTAACAAGGATTAAAGCCCAAATGAGCTGGCTGCTCTAAAATGCACCATTGTATTCGTAAAAAGCCGGTGCTGAATCCACTCTTCCATTCTTCAAATCCACTCTTTCACTCTTCGTTCGCAGTGAGAACACGGGTAAGTTTTTATTCCTTTTCTTAAAAAAGATACAAAGCTTAACAACCACATTCTTGGAGGTAAACCCTCCTTCGGGCCTATTCCCTGCTATCCTGGTCTTCTATTCCTTCTGCCACAGGTGGTGCAAAGCCCCTATCGGCACAGGGATTCCAGAACACAGAGATAATGCTTCCTATAAAGCCAGCTCCAAGCCTCCATAAAGTCAGAAGATTACAATGACATTTTGCCTAAAAATATGAAAGAACCCATCCCTTACTGTGATGTATAAGAAAAATATCAGCTCGGGCTGGGGATTTAGCTCAGTGGCAAAAGCGCCTGCCTGGCAAGCGCAAGGTCGTGAGTTCGGTTCCCGGTACCAGAGAAAAACCAAAAAAAAGAAAAATATCAGCTCTCAAAAAGGAGAAAAGAGAAAGAAAAGGATTTAAAAGACATTAAACCATGAGCAACATCACTCTTTCAAAAAACCAAGATCAACCTAAAGCAGTGTTTTTCCACCCCAAGACTAGATAAAGAGGTTGACTCCTTCGACTTATCCCTAAGAATGAAGTTGCTGGGGAGCATGTTCCCGCCTTGCCCTGGCTCACACGGTAATTAGGATAATCCTTGGCCTTGGGCTCTCTACACGGATACCAGAGCTTGAGGTAAATGTAAACCAAGACCACATGGCTCTGTCCTGGACCCTTCTCCCACGTGCTCTCCTTCCCTCAAACGCCAGCACCCACGCCAAGGAGAGAGAGAACCGGAACAGCCAGCAACACTGGTAGGTATGGACAGAAATGAAGCGGGATGGGGATGACGTCCTAAGTCAAAGTCGATTTAACTTCCATCACTCCTAGCCAGACAGCAGATAGCAGGACTACTTTTTTCTTCAACTAAGCATCTATGATGCCCTAAACCACATCAATTTTGCAAGTATTTGGGGGTCTTTCTTGTTAGTTTCGGGGTTTTATCGGTAGTTTCCATTCTGCAAGTATTTCTGTGCCTACCATGCATAAGAAAAGTACTCTATCTAACCCAGGGTACAACCAATACCTCTCAGGAAGTACTGGCTTTAATTCTGATTCTATACAATAATATCGCTAGAACATAATTTGACCTGCAGTTTAATCAGATAGTTATACTTTGAGTTACATCAAAAGGCAGTGATAAACTATCCAGTAAATGCTTCCCATATAGAAAGAACCTGATGTAACTTTCAAATATAACCTAATGATAAATACTTGGTAATTATACTAGCAGCATATGCTATTTACCTTTCATTTTAAACCCATCCATTCAAACGTACTTCCTATTTATAAATGTAAAATTCCTGTATTTCTACACGATTTATAAAAATATTCACAGACAAGTATTCATAGTCTTGCCTCTAAAGTAGATTTGTTTTGGAAGCCAGAATATGACCATAAAGATTCACTGCCATTTATCATTCTCTTAGAATCTGAGTATTTTCTATCACTAGGACTAAATAGATAAAAAGAACGTTTGGTTCTCTCCATGGTTGGCAGTAACACAATGAATGATGTCAAAACCTCCAAGCCCTGACTGGGAAAGAGGGCAAAGCAAACAGGAGCAGAAGGAACATTCGCTGGACTGGTGCCTTTGAAGCTCACCAGCCTGTGCACGGGACCACAGCACCACTTCCCAGTACAGATGGCAGCAGGGGTTCCTCTGCCCATTACGGAGGTAGAGGTAAGGAAGAAAGCTCTGCAAGCCCCGTCTAACTCAGGACTCCCATCACTGCCCTCAGGAGAGTCACACACGGGCCCAAGCTCCAGCACGGTGACACAGAACCATAAATCCTGACCCTAGCTGTACTATTATCCAGCTGTGCGAACACACGTAACTATGTCTTCGCATTTTAGTGTCTTCTTCTATGAAATGGAAATATTCACAGCTGTCTCAAGGATGCCAGGCCCCAAGTTATGGTTGGTGCAATACAAGTACTATCTAAGCTTTCCTCCAGAGGCTTCCAGGGAAGATGAAGGAGTGCTTGGAAGTCCCTCCGAGAGCCAGACTTTAATCCAGCGTGAGAGTTAATCTAGAAACGTGGGGTCAAATGGAATCACTGCGATAAGGCACAATCTGGTTGAGGGTCCACTGTGACTAGGGCTCCACGAGCCTCCAATACGCTCTAGGAACTACTTCTTCAGTCTCCCTCTTCAGTGCAGTCCAGGCACACACTGGAGGAGCACAGAATCCCTCTCCTGAGCACGTAACACTGCCCACTACCCCTGGAAGAAACTGGCCAATGTCTCAGTCAAGATGTCTTCACACTTTGGGGCAGAACCCTTGGGCTACACATGCATCTGTATCCATATAGATATATATGTATGCAATGTTTCTCCTTTCGTGGTCAGCCCATCTCCATTTTCAACCCCCATGTCCACTGCTTTATTAGTTTTCTATGACAAGACCACTTGGTTAAGATTACAAACTCCTAAAACAGGTGCCTGTATTTATTTGACATTTCTTCCCCATAACATCCAGCAAAGCCAGGATAATAAACATGATTTGGGGGAAGTAACGGTGATGAAAGAGTTCTTAAAACTCACACTACACTATTTATATAGTATGAAAACTGCATGCACGTAAGACACTGTTTTCAACCTGGTCATTCCATGTTCTTCAAAGGAAAATGAGTATTGGAAAATCTTCCTAAGCTGGAAACGAGACACCCAAACAAATCTTAAGCCACTCATTTATGATATGCAGTCTAAATTCATCACTTCCCTCCTGGTGATAGCTTAGAAAATCAGCTATCATATCTTCAGGTTTTGGAATAATAAAAAGATAAATCCATTTTTTTAATGATGTCCAAATATGAGATGTTACTATGAGAATTCTTATTAAAACTACAGTGCATCTTACCTCCTTGAAGTTATCAAAAGCTGATAAAATGATTTCATGCCCACCTCTGACAAGACAAACAGCTGCCAAAAGCTCCAAGACAAGGGCTTTCGTTCTGTTAGAACAAGAAGAAAAAGGAAAACACCAATCAGTGAAAGTGATCAGGTCATCAGCCCCTTCTTTCCAGGACGGGAATAGCAGAAAGATTTGCCCATGTACTTTTTTTTTAATCCTTTATACTAAGTAAAGTACAGTTATATTAACTGGCTTCTAAATACATAATATGTCTAATACAGGGTGGACAGCACACCTCCCACTCCCAAAATTACAAATTCCTCATGAGCGGAAACTAATTCTGAAGTCTCCAGTGCAACCATCAGCTAACATCAAGACCTCCTCAGGTGACCTCTGAAGTACAAAGCAGTGGAAATTATTTTACAAATGAGCAAAATACAACAGGAACTGTAGGAACATACAGAAAAACACCTGTTAAGCATTTTCTCTGGTTTTAGGAGTCAGAGTTATAACATGAAATTAGAGCTTTACATCTCAAACCTGCTTACTTTTTTACATGGGCCCATAAAAATCCCATGTAACAAATACAAGCTGCCATCAACATTTCCTCCTACGCAGATCTGGAAGGAGCTGGGCTGCAGCTATATGAATACAAAGCTGTAGTAATACAAGAATATTTTCTCTGACTCAAGAAAATAGAACTCCATCTGAAATATTTTTGGAAGAAGAATTTAAGAGATGCATTCTAAGTTTACAAAAACAATGTCAAAAAAAGGAACGCCATTGTTTCTTCATCATAAGACCACTTTATTATTTCATCTTCATTCTGGAATAAAGCTATTGCCAGCTTCTTCACAAAGACTGTTTTGATATTCTACAATGTCAACTGTCTTAAGAAAAACGAATAGTGACTCCCCTATAATGGAAGACAGAGACAAGACAACATGACACTTAGGATTCTAATAACTAAGAAAGAAATCACAAAGCTCCAAAGGTTTCATCAGGGCAAGTTTGAAAGAATAATACTCAATATATGAATAGGGCTTTATATTACATTCCAAATCAGAAAGGCCTACTTCAATAATTAGATTTTCCTTTTTCCCGAAGTACCAGAGACTGAACCCAGCAAACGCTCAAGCGATATCCTGTCATTAAGTTGCCCAGGCTGACCTCAACCTGGTGATCCTCCTGCCAAACCCTCCAAGCAGCTAAGACTACACACATGTGCCACCACGCCCAATTTAATAATCAACTTTTAGCTGAATTAAGTTTTTAGATATAGCTGGGATAATTGTACTGCTGATTTCTACTGGTTTATTGAAAGGAACAGTTAATACTTAAATTGTTTTCTTTTTAATTTGTTGGCCAATTTTGCATGCTTATATCTATATATGAACAACTAAGTTGGAGACAACCATATGCAATGTAACAACCATTGCTGAATTCCTATCATCTTGTTTAGTGAAATCATGTATCGTTTCTAATTTTTTTTATTATTTTTAATTCTCTTAAAAAAGGAACAAATTAAATAAAATGTATCTGATAAAAGGGAATTACACATTTAAAATGCAGAATAGCAACTATTGGAGTATTGGAGTAACATTAAAAAAAAAAAAAAGATGACAACACGGCTTCTTCAGGTAATCCGTGGTGCTGGCCTTTACAGAACATAAATGTAAATGAAAATCAGCATCTGCACTTACTTGTTTTTCTTTTCGTGTTTGATAACTAAAGCTACAGACATAAAGGCAAAGCGTGGATAAGGGACAGTGGTAGCCTGGTTAAATGCGGCTTCACTCCCTGCTTCCCCTAGTTTGACATCACAGAGGAAGCTTACCTGGGGTTCTTGTTGTTCAAGCTTAATGCAATCTCGTTGACAGCATGTGGATGAGACATGACCATGTTGAAACCATACTAAAATGTAGGAGGAAGAAAAACAGAAGCAGTAAGAAATAAGTTAGAGGTGTGCCAGTGCTTATAAAAACACAACTCGTTTCTGCCTCATGTAACTTAAGCGCTATAAATGCAGATACATTTTTAATGCACCACTGTCAGAACATAGTTCTCTATCAAAAATCCCAGAAATGATGCTAGTATCAAAGGATCATCTGCCCGCTATTTAAGATCGAGCTACATGTTTTTCTTTATTAAAATAGTGAAAATGCCCTCAGTTTTGTGATTCACCTCTGCCTGTTCATTCAATCAATTTAAACAAAGCACTGCTTGATTCTCCAAGATCCACCCCAGGTCAACTGACTGAATCCCAGTGATAGAGTCCCAGAATCTGACTTTTTCTAAGCTTCCAAGGTCATTCTACTGTGTATTAAGGTTGACAACCACTGTATCTCAGCCTTCTCCGGGAAATGGCTCTCAGGACCAAAGGAACTAGGAAAATCCCCCTTGCTTGGGGCCTTGTTACCTAACCTTTCTATACCATGAAGAAAATGAACTACAGGCCTAAAGCACCTTGATTCAGCTGAGCTAAGGAACGCTGTCTCCTGTAAACTCATCCCCAGCTTACGTAAGAACTTATTTCCTTACACTGAGAAATTATACGCAGTCAGAAAAGGCTGGCCAAAGCTCCTAACACACGGACAGACCTGCAGCTCACCTCCTCCCAAAGATAAACTCTCCTGCTCTAACCTAACCCAACACCTCCGCCTGAGTCCTGCATCTCACTCCCTTTCATCCTCTAACTCCCACCGTTTTCCCTTCTCTGTTGGTCCATTGGCAGGAGCACAAAAACAGGACACACGCTCTTAATCACAAAGCCTTCTCCTAACACCACAAGCAGTGTCCACACACTGGCCCACGTTTCTCTCTGCTCTGTTCTCAGCAAAATGCCTCCGGGACCTCCGACTCCTCTCACCTTTCACCTCCACCGCTCCAGTGAAATCCTCTTCACAAAGACCACCAATGACCTGCACGATGCTCCACCCAGCGGCCCTCCTTCACTCCTTCTCTAGGTGACTCAGCGGCAGCAGCTGAGCTGACGGTTCCCACCCCCTTGAAACGCGTCTGTTAGCTGGCCCCCACCTCCCTGGCCACGCCTCAGGTTCTCCAGAAGGGTGTCCTCATCCCTCCGGTAGCTAAACGAAGTATCTTAGGGTTCAAACTTTGAAGCTCTTTACTAGTGTCTACTGCTCTTGCTCCACTCACCCTACTCTTCCTGCTCCATGTAGCGCTAATCGTTACTCTCAAGTTACAACTGCAGCCCAGGCCTCTGCCTTGAAACCCACTTTGGCATATCCCACTACCCACGTAAGATCATTATTTGGATGATTAACGTTCTTTTAACGTTAAAAGCCCCAAGAGAATTCCCAACAATCTCACACCTACTGATGCTGCAGTCTTCCTCATCTCAGTAAACAGCGACTCCATCTTGCAAGGGCCCAGGATGAAAACTATCTCACTGCTCACCTCCTCCCTCACCGCACCCCTGACGCTGTTCCATTACCATCAAAAGAAAACCAGGACACAAGCCCTCTCTCCACCTCTACTCCTATCACCCCGGCCCATGCCACCAGCACAGCTCACCTAAACTACTGCCCACAACCTCCTGAGTGATCTCCCTCCTCTCGCCTTTGCAGCCATGGTCCACCTTAAATCCAGAAGCCAGAGATCACAACACTGAACCCAAGCGTCACTTCACGCCCTTGAACCATGATCACCTTTTCACTTGCACCAAAGCCAGTGTTCCCTTACAGGCCTACGAATTCCTACATAATGAGGCCTCCTTATCATTTCCACCTTCCTCATCTTCTGTCCATTCTAATCCAGCCTGGCCTCCCTTGTGCTCCTGGGACAAACCAGACTTACTCCTGCCTCAGCGTCCCGGCACCCGTCCTTCCCTCTGCCCAGAGTTTTCTGTCCCTGACACCTTTCCTTCCTTCCCTGACTCAAGGTGCACTCCAGGCTACTCTCTCAGAGACACTTTCCTCACTGTACATACGTTTTTGGTATTTGCTCTCTCTTTCCTGATTGTTTATTTCCTATAGCATCTAGAGTAAGGGCTCTCTGGGTTCAAAGCTTTCCTGAGTTCAAATCTTGACTCTGCCACTCATTAGCTATATGATTTGGGGCAAATTACCTAACTTCTCTGCGTCTCAGTTTCCTCATAAGTAAACATGGAGAGAGTAATAATACCAATCGTCTTATGAGGTTTTTATGAGTTCACAGGGTTAAAAGCACTAGACCCCTGGAAAGTACCATGTAGCTAGCTTTCTTTCTATTTCACCATTATTATTATATTCTACCAACGTACTTGACTGTCCTGTCATCTGTTCAGCCGCTCTGCAAAGTTCCCTGGGTTAATTCAGACTTTTTTGAAGAGCTAGAAACACACACACACACCTGATAATTCATGATGGCACGTAAACACATGATGCAGACATGAACGTCATCCTTCTTACTCACTAATCTGGAATTCTTCAGGGTTCTTCTACTTGGCAAAGTATTGTATCTACAAAGAGAACAGAAACTTTACACAGTGATAGATTACTTTCTCAGCATAGGCACACACACAATTGAAAAGATGGACATTGCTCCCTACCTTACCCAGAAATACACAAGGTCCACAGGTCAAAACCACCACCAACGAACCCATCACTACAAAACTACTCCACGGACTGTGAGGCCCACGTGGTTTTGTCACCATCTTTTCAGGTCAGGCACCCAAAGAGAATGTACATGAGATAAAGTAACAATCCAGGCTCCTACTCAGTAGGCTAAGCTAGGTCTGCAGAGGTGCTGGAGGCGCTGTGCATGCAGAATGCAGAACAAGTGAGGTGAGACTGAGCTAACACGTACACTTCCATTGTGTGACCTGATTGCAACAGTACTCTCTTTGGAGTTTAAACCTATGCAAGATCATACATTAGCACTTTGATTTTACCTTGTGCTATTGGAGCCTGAAGCCTTAATAGTATGCAAATGTCACATCTTTCACCCAAAGCCTGATATGGCAACTGAAATTTAGAAGGAAATCTGGTAATATGGCAAAGGGATAAAATGTTTCAATGTTAGGATAAATTCTACAGACCACGCAACAATAACTTTGTTTGCCTTTCTGGAGATTTATCAGAGCTTGCAAAGAGTGACAAGCCAATATGGTTCCTAGAGAAAAGAAAACACCCAGTTTCAATGTGAATTTTATTGCTTCTGATGGGAAAAAAGTAAATTTCAAAAGTTGTGAACTACAATCTTGTAGGGTCAATGATGAGAATGTGCCACCAAATCACCTACAGCTTTCGAATTGAACTCATTAAAAAATTTAAAGGAAAATATTATTAATACTAATAGCTTTTCCAAGTCCCAAAGGTGTAGGAAAGGAGCTGAAAACTGAACTGACAAGTCTGTCTACAGCCATTCAGCTGGACAGCTGGGGGCGGGGCGGGGGGCGTGGCGGCTCAACTGGCAAAGCACTTGCCTGGTGTGCACAAGGTCCTGCGTTCTATCTCGGGGAGGGGAGGTGAAAATAAAATTTCAGCAATGGAAGTTGGTCTCATTCAGCTCTGAATGCAAGAGCAAAGCAGCTGATGTTTAACAAGTTCAAATTTTAGTGGCAGCTGGCCCAATTTTAACAACCAAAATACAACTTTAAAATGTGCTCCTTTGCCAAACTCCAGCCTGAGCAAGGCTGTTGGCATACTTCTGGAGGTCACTGCAACCGCAAAGGACACCACCAGTCTGGCCTAAGCACACATGATCTTCTCCGTCCACATCTCAAATTTTTCCGCTTCCTCTACCTTTCTTATTTTATCTTCAGTTTTAGATTTATTTAATGGAATAACATATTAAATACATGACATTATATATTAGAGACACAGTTTTCATTTTTAATTGAAAGCATTTAAGTTTTAAGAAGAAGAAAAAGTGATGAGAGAGGAATCATTTACCCTTTGCTAAGTTACACTTCCATACAGTGAAGACTGCACAAGGCAAGTACTGATCCAGGCAAACTACTTGCTACGGAAGACAGGCCGGGTTATTCCACACAATTTCTGCTCCACTTCCAATTAAATTTTAATTATTCCAGTAAATAAACCAACCTTACATATTTGTTTCCTAAAGGTGTAAAGTAACACAGAACACTCCTTTTTCTTTTTCTTTTTTTGTTCTGTATTTACTGATCCAGTTCTTGACACCTTGTAATAATTCTCTAAGAAGCCTACATGACTGCCACATTTGTAATGCAGAAACCAACAAAAATTAATTAGAATGACGTTCTACATGCCATATTATTAACACAAAAGGCATGTATGTGTTGTAGAAGGTGATTAATCTCAACTATTTTTCTGGATCAACATTTAAAAAACATTAGGGCTAGGGATGTAGCTCAGTGGTAGAGCACTTGCCTACCATGTCCATAGCCCAGGGATTGACCTCCAGCACTGCAAAACTTAATAAATAAAATATGCTTAATGTGGTATAACACATGCATAGCTATTCCTATTTTAAAAGTTTAGAAAATATACCATAAGCTATTAATAAGAACAATGAGCATTTTATTAATGATATTGTATGATCAACAGTAATACAGTTAAACTTTTTTAACGTATGGCATTGGGTTAAAAATTCTCTACATTTTGGTTTATACAAAAACTGAGTAGGAATAAAAGGCATCTGTGACACTGTATGTTTAAAATCACATCATTACAAGTTCTAAAAACTCAACCCCACAGTCACGAACAACAAATTCATAGCACGGACAACTAAATGAGAAAGTCTAAACCTCTCTTCACACAGAGAGAAGTCCAAAGAAGCCACACTCACATGGCAAGGGAGAAGCAAACCGGGAGACGGGACCACCCTGGACCCCAAGTCCGTAGAGACTTGGGGCAATCTGTCACCACAACCAGCTTCTCATCACCCTCCAATCTGTTGGGCTGTCATGTGAAAAAGCTACCGCCTGCAGCCCTCTGTGCAGGCTGGCTGCCTTCCTGTCAAACGCTGCTGTCCTGCCATCCTGACAGAATGTACTTCAGTTCTATACAGTTATCATTTCCTGCCCTGCATAATTATTATACTGAGCAGGGTTAGGGCTTAGTTTGCCCCAAATAGCAGCACATGGGCTCTCCTGCAGAACACAATGGCCCACCCATCGACCTCATAAGCAAGTTTTCCTTTTAAAATCTTAAGCCTTTATGTCACTTATCAATAAAGTAAGGATGCACTTAAGTAGGAAATTTAGCTCTGTATTTTGGAGTTCTCCTTATTAAAGAATTTGCTCCCATTAAATAAATGCACCCTGGAAAATGTCCTAATTCTTTATCTCTGAAAATACCAAGTTTTTTTATGGACTCAGTTTCAGTTTAAGATCACCATAAATCTGTAAGTGCAGATTTTAGACAGTGGCATGGTTGGCATGTATATGAATCGATTGCACAGCATGCCCACCTTATGAAATTTTGCTGTATTTGTAATCTACACCCTTTAATTACTATCTGAGTAAATTATGACCCCTTTCTGGGAGGAGGTGGCAAACTTTAAATTCTGCTCCAACGCACGATGCTGATTCCATCTAATAAACACCGCCTGTGCAGGTTTCAGTGGATTCCCCCACGTGGCCATAAAGTCCCAGCGGAACAGACCGGCCACTGCACCACTGTAAGAACACCGGACGAAGAGGACAAGCCAGAGTACCTGACCTCTGACACTCCCCACCAACCACAGAAAACCAACCCAAATCTCATCTAAACCTGTTTTATTAAGCACCTACTGTTGATGCTAAACTCTAAGCGCCAAAGGAAAGTGAAAGGAACAGGTGCTTCTATCCCCAAGGGGCTACCACGGAGTCTAGGAAACAACACGTAAGTCCGTAGATAGCCCCTGCCGTAAGAAGGGCTTTCTCACACGCCAGCCCCGACCTGCCCACTTCACTGAGTCTATAAACGCGATGCAGGTTACAACACGTAAAGTGAACTCAGCAGCACAGAGACACATGACAGAATACGGTGGGCAACGGCAGTTACACGTTCTCAAAGGAGAACACATTCTGCAAAGCTTTATGCTAAGTCCTCAGACAGAAACCTCTTCCTAACCCAGGCCTACTCTGGACAACTGTACTGAGGCATAAACAAGTTGTTCTTAAACAGAGCTCCCGACCACGAAATACAGGAGGAGTGGAGAACTATGTGAAAAATAAACATAGTTAAACGTCAGATATTACCAGTACAGATTTAAAGTATCTGTTTCATGGTTCTTTCAATGGTGGAATTAGAAGATACTTTTATGTGTGATTTTTCTCTACATTTTCCAGTTATATGTAATGATATGTTATTATTTTCTAAAAGAGAAAAAAGTTGTGTACTGAAAAGCTGCTTTAGATGGTCTAGGTCTGAGTGCAACTTAAGACAGTTGATGAGATACCGCAGTTATAACACCCCCAGCACCCAGAGGATGCCTCCTAAGAGACCTCTACAGGTGGACAGCAGCTTCTGGTCTACCCTGATGGAACAAACTCCGCCACAACACGAAGGACAAAAGAACCAAGTATCATTAGAAAAACTCAGCTTTGTAATCCTTTTCCCTGGCACTGCAAATGCCTGCCTGATGTCACTAATGCTGAGTACAGAGATTAAGTTCCCATTTAAAAAAAAGGATGAGAGCAGTCAATTAGTGCCACAAAACTACCAAGTATATGAGTCACAGGTAGTCCTAGAAGATCAGAGCAGAAATCTGTCAGCAATTACAAATTCAAAGAGTTCACAGAAAAGTTGTAACACCGAGTTATAAATGTACAGAGTACTAGCCCAGCATGGTGGCACACACTTGTAATCCCAGCACTCAGGAGGCTGAGGCACGAGGATCTTTGAGAGTTCAAGGCCAGCCTGAACTGCATAGTGAGACCCTGTCTCAAAAAAGACAAAAAAAATACAGAGTACTATTTTGTAACCCGTCTAACATAAGTAAGTATGATTCAATGCATTATCTTTGAAAGGATACGTGAGGCCGCCTGCTTCTGGGTCCGTCACAGGCCTTTAGGCTGAACTACCCTCTCCCTTCTTAGCAGTGATCATCCTAGTTGACTTACTTGAATAAACTCTCCACAAGGGTTCCGTTTAAGGGATTGAGGTTATGGCTCAGAGGGAGCCATGGATGCCTCTGTGATAAACTAGTATCTTTGGCACATTACCTCTGCTAGGGAATTACCTAAAGTGAAACTGATTACTGTAATATGTTCTTCCTGAAGCTACTGTGAAACTTCATTTCAAACAGAGACTATCTGAGCAGATCCAAATTGGAAATTGTCTTTTCAATTCATTATGGTGTATTCACAAAAGGTTCCAATCAGAAGCAGCACCAGTCTCTCCACGGCCCCTGTGGATAACCAAGGCAACTGAGCTCCATTTGGTCCTGTCCCACATAGTAAGTCTTGCCTGATGCCAGACTGTCAGCAGCTCACGGTGCATGCTGCATTCACGGAGTGCTGAAACCGGCTTCTGCGACCACATGCTCCCA